GGTCCCAGGGTTGACCATGCTACCGCATCGTGGGATAGAAGGGCAAATAAAAGCAGCAGGAGGGCCGGCAGATGGAGTGGTGCTTAAAGGCGCTGGATTCCCACATGGGCGACTATGGTTCGAGTCCTGAACCTGGTGGCTTGCTGTCTCACATTCTCTCTCTCTCTCTCTCTCTCTCTCTCTCTCTCGTCAAATTTTTTTTTAAAAAAAAAAGGGCAGCAGGAAACTGCTCCACCTTTGGGCCAGGCGCGAGCCCTTGGCAGGGCTGCTATGACTGCTAGCAGCACTGCATGAGACAGCCATGGAAACTGGCCCTGAGTCCTGTCCCTCGGGAGCAGGTGCGCTCTGGGTACCCCACACAGTGAACTGCGACAACCCTAAATCCCAGCATGGCCTGACCTCACAGGGTCTTCCAGAGGGGCCAGTTACAGACCTGTAGGTTTCTCAAACATGGCCACAGGATTCCTTAGTCAGACATTTTATAAAACGGTACACGTATTCTGAATACAGAGTATTCTGTGCAGAAAATGAGTGATCGTGAACTAAAGTGTGGGCAGTGGGAGTTCTTTATTTGTCTTTATTCAAGTTTATTTTAAGAGACAAAAGAAGGGATGGATGGAGGAAGGTGGGGTACCCACAGGGCACCAGACCCTAGCCTCCCCCAGCCAGCCAGGACCACACAGCCGTGTGTGCTCCAGCTCATGTGAGCCGACTCAGGAAGCGAACCCTGATCTTCCATGTGGCTTCTAGAGTGCTGAGCACAGTGCAATTGCTCCACCACCGCAGCTAAGCTCTCATCAAATCCCTACCTTGGCTCCTTCGCAAATGAGTGAGGCGGTGAGCCTCCACACGCCACACCACCTGGAGGGGCACCATGAGACTCAGGATAAAACAGTGAATGCTCCTAGCACAGAGCGAGCGAGTGGGAGCCATGGCAAGGGTGGTGGCAGTCCGCAGGTAAGCTCTTTGTACGTCATCAAAACCTTTTCTTTTGTCCTCAAAAGCAGCCCTACTTGAGCCACAATGGCTGCTTTTCTCACTCACTGTGGGTACCTTCTCAGACCTACAGAAGTCAGCTGCCAAATTCAGGAAAGGTCCACCTTGTCCCTCACCTGTCACAGCTTCGCCACAAAGCCCCACGTAATTCACAAACATCATGCACGGGGGCGCAGTGTGAACCAGAAGCCTGGGGACAGCAATGGGCTCTGGAGCCCAGCTGATCACCAGAACCACAGGCCAGATGCTGGGCCCCTGTCCAAGGTGCTCTTGGGCCAGTGGGTTGAAAGATTTGTGGGCCTATGGACTAGGTCCCAGGACAACCAGGTTAGTAATTACTACTCGTTGACAGACAGGTGAACAGTTCACGGATAACAGCTAAAATGAAACCGTGTCCCATTATCTCAACACTCGTGAATCTCCAGTGAACTGCCAGTCAAGAGCTCCGGGATGGAGAATCATCTCGACCCGAAATTCTTCAAGAGTACAGCAATGCCAGAAACCGAAATCGCATTCTTTCACTCCATCTTCCGTTCAGGAGCCTCAGCTGCGAGTGATGTCCCTTGTAGGGAGCCACTGATCTTACAGGGCTCCCAAAAACACAGGAGGAGAAAAACATAAGACAGAGGGAAGCCCAGTATTTCCCATTTTTAGATGCTCTGTGGAGAACCAAGGGTCTCCAAGGCCAGGCAGAGCTGAAAGGCCTCATAGCCCGAAGCATTAACTCTGTCGAGGAGGTTGTCGAACTTTTCTTGCAGAGAAAATCAGACTCATTTATGCAGTGAGGTCTCTTTGTATTCATCATCTAGTAACGACTTCCCAATACATTTTGAACATCATAAACCACAATCCATATACGCTGATGGAGTCGGTAGAAGAAGGTTATGGTAACAGTGGCCAAAAACCTTGAAACCAGGTAAGCCTGACTGCTTCTAACAGGCAACACCCAGCACCTCTGCTAACCGGGCTACAGGCTCCCCTGCTAACGAAAGGCAGCAAAGCACTCTGCTGAACACGGGCCCCCAGGAGAGAAGTGTCACTCTACTGCGCCGAACACAAGTTCCCAAGTGCCAGTGCTAACCACATAGCCATGGTGGCCCAGACCATGCCCGTGGTTAAGGCTAACCATGTCCCTCCCATGTCTGCCCGTAAATGTTGTGATTCCTTATGGATCTTACAGCTGCAATGCCTAAGCGAGGCCTGCAGTAACCCCAGCGGTGGAGCCGTGGTGGCAGACCCTGGTTCTCACAGGGAGAGGAACCAGGCACTCTGCATTGAGTCCACAGGTAGCCCCTGCAGAGCGCTTCAGAGAACGAGAATGTGCCTCTGAGGCCAGGGGCTCTCGCTTTAGCTCTACCAAAGTGCTCCAAGTCCTTGAAGGAAAATGAAAGGCCGGACGGGAGCAGCTGCTTGGCCTCGTTCTGAGGGGACCCTGACGCAGTGAACCCAGGCAGATGACAGTGGGCAGGGGGGACGGGGTGCACAGGTATGGCTCAGGGCCCTCGCCCCTGCTTCACCGGCAGCTTCCTTGAGCTCTATCCCACACGCTGTGGTCCCATAGGAAGTGCTCTGTGCAGGGATGGAAAACTGTGAAAGTCATTAGATAACATGATTCCAAAGCTAGGAGTCCCTGTACAGCTGCTATTTTAAAACACTGGGTGGTCAGAAAAGTCATGGCATTTGTTTTCTGTTTTTCTATGCAAAAATGTACCGTGACTTTTGCAACGACGGCCCAATGGCTACATACTATTATAGAAAGTGTTACCATTGGGACCAGCAGATGGCATAGTGGTTACGTCTCTGGCCTACCACGTAGTCAACCACATTTCAAGTCCTAAACTCGGCGGCCTAAAACTCACACCAAGTGTGTGTGTGTGTGTGTGCACGTGCACCCAAAATCTCAGGAGGCGAATGGTGGAGAAGGGATCGTACCATGGCCGTCCACCCTGGGGGTGATTTCTCGCTTTCTGTCTCTCTTTCTCTCTCTCTCTCCATCCATCTCTCTGGCAAGTGCACGTTCCCTATAGCAAAAAACTCTCAAAATAAAAGTGTTATCATGTATTATTAAACATCTTATATAGTATATATAGTTTGATTATACTACATAATTATTATATAAATATTATCTAAAAATAATTCAATAGATCAAGCACCTAGCAGGTGGCACGGTCTTGCTGCAGGCTTTAAATTTGACACCTCATTTCACCCCCTCAACAGCCTTATGAGATAAAGCCTTATCTTCTCAGATGTCGTAATGAGTAAGTGGAGACTCTGAGCAATTAACTAAGTGGTCCCGATGTCAAGTGAGTACCTGGCAAAGCTGGGATTCCGGCCCACATGTTCTGACTGCGAAGGTATGGTGACGCCCCTTCCTGGGGCCGAATGCCACCACCCTCCCCCCACAGTGGCCAAGAAGGAGCGAGGTGTTTTTACATGGTCACGCTGTGCCACAGTGGCAGCCACATCCACTTTTCAACTGCGATCCATATTCATCTAACGTATGCTAACTGCCGGTCCCATAACGAAAACCCCAGTGAAAGTAGTTTACTTAAGAGCATTCTCTCTTAACAGTTCTGTACAGAACTGGAAAAATGTAGCTGATGTGTTCGATAATTTGGTATTTTCTAAAATACTACTGTATTCCAGGTTATAAAGAAAATCACGGTATCTGCAACTGCCAAAGAATAGTCAATCCTGCTTTCAATCTGAATTTGAATTTGAAAGAAGGATGCAAGCCAGGGCTTTCACCACCCAGCACAA